TCTTTTGGATAAAACAATCTGATAATAAAAAAATGCTACAGTTAAAAAATCTGTTACCTACAACAAGTTTCCCTGCTAAATACGATAAATAACCATGAATTTACTTTCCCAGAATTCTCTTTATGACACTTTTTAATGTTTTATTTACATTAATATGTTTTTTTCAGTCTTTTTCTCATTTTTACTTTAGTTTTGTGTTACATTTAATGTTGATCAATATTGTTTATTATATTACTTAAGTGTCATGTGTGTTACCGTGACGGTGTTGTGTGAATGTTGTGAAACAGCTGTTTGTGATGAGCTTTGGGTCATCATGTGACTTTCTCATCACCTTCTTCCTTAGCTTTAGTATTTGTAAGTCAAAGCGTTGATGTGGTAACATTGTATAAATTAATGACTTACAGTCATTTCCTGTAACTTGAAAAATTATTCTACAGCATTTCACAATACAGTACAATTCTGCTAACAATTCTCTGAGTGCTGGGTTGTGGCTGGAAGGGCATCCGCCATCTTAGACTATATATAAATATAAGACTCTATGCCAGAGTAATTGATTGGTTTTTCTGCTGTGGCGACCCCTGATGGATTAAACTGAAGGAAAGTGAGTGAATGTGATGACATTATAAAAACTGATTAGCTGTCACAGTCGTTGTCATACCGGATACATCATACAAAATAGATTTAGTCAAAAACGACTTGATTTCATTACTTGTAAACCAGTAAAATGTGTCCTTCCTTGTAAAACAATTTCATCAACAGGTCTGAATCTGTGATTGGTGTGTTTTTGTGAATCTCTGCACACAATACACACAGGCTGTTCATCGTCCAAGCAGAAGAGTTTGAGCTTCTCATTGTGCAAACTGTTGTCCAGCTCAGATCCTGAAGCTATTTCTGATGTCAGTGACTCACACAAGTTCTTCAACACAAGATTGCAAGGAGGATCCAATTTGGAAGACCTTCTCCTGCAAACGGGACACTCTTTGAGTACTCATAGATTTTGTATCTTTATGGAGGAATAACCTGCTAATTTTCAAATAAATCGTCACCCTAGAATAAGGTTCTATCTGACATTTTTGTCAAAAATGAGTTCTTATTAAATGGCAACTTGTTTACATTATGAGATGTTTTTAAGTTGTTTACATTTTAAGACTTTTTATTTTTTAAAAATGTTACACATACTGTTTGCTATGGAATGCAAAAACTTTGAAGCTCAATATCTCAAAATCATTCAGAACGCAGATAGAACCTTATAATTCCAATGTAAATAAGTAAATGAATGACAAAATAAAAAAAATGATAAAGCTATTTTTATTTATTTTTTATTTATATTTATTTTTATATATATATATATATATATATTTTGTAATTTATTATTGGAATGAACTTGATCAGGGGCAGATCTAAAATTATTTTTACATTGGCAATAAAAAAAGCATTCATGCATAATTCTTGCAGATAAATGAACTAACCTTCCCTATTGTGTTCATGATTAGTTGTAAACAGCTGCATTACAGCAAAAAAATAAAATAATAAAATGTCAATTTGACGGTTCATTGCACTGTGGCAATCTGAATGAAATGTCAATATTCAGAAAATAAAGTCAGTAACCTGTGTATTAAAATCATCAAGAGATTTTAAATGTAATTGAGCATTATTACATAAAGGCAAGTTGTGTCATTAAAATTAGGGTACACTCTCATCTGTAACCCACTTTTCACTTAGATAATAGAACAAGTTTAACAGCAACAAAAACTTTAAAACTGAAGCTGGACTTAGGTTTAGATATTAACAGAGGTTGTTCCATGTGCGGATTTTATTCACTCAACACTGTCAGAAATAAAGAGCTGTTACTGGGGCAGTACCTTTTCAAAAGTTTCAGAAGTCACTTTCGCATTTGTACCAAAAGGATCCATATTGATTATTATCATTGGTACAATACCTAAAAATGTATGTCTTTAGGCTTTATTTTGAACACGTAAAAATAAATAAATAACTACAATAAATAAAGCAAAAAAAGTACATTTGTGTACTTTTATCAATGTGTACTTGTGAGGTGCCTAAAGGTGCTCTCTTCATCTGGGCACGTTGATGTTTATCCAGGAGCCCAGGGGTCCTCCTTTGACGGGGGTCATTTTAAGAACTGGTCACATCTCAAAATGAATTTACAAAGGCCCCAGCGAGGATCGAACTCGCGACCCCTGGTTTACAAGACCAGTGCTCTAACCACTGAGCTATGGAGCCTCACCTTTTGAAAATCGCACATGTCACTCCCAAAAAGGACAAGCAGTAAAAAAATGAACACCAAAGACTCACCTAATGAATTTGGCAGACAGCCTAATACATCTTTACATGCTTTAATGGTTTGACAAAAAGCCAAAGCTCAGCATGTGGCTCTAAGAAAAGTGATTACAGTAATTGATGAGCTTTCAATTAGAGTAACACAGACACTATGTTTATGCATATTCTTACATGCTAGATACATATTATACTGTAAGAACTTTTGGTCCAACAAAACCAAAACAAACTTGTTTATTTGGCTGTTGTGAAAAGAAATCAATAGCTGTGTACACATGCAGTGTGCAGACTGAAGTCTACTTACCAGCAGGAATATGAAGAATGTGTCCCATATGCAGCAATAATAGCCTTTACATTTCTGTTAATGCTTTCTATAAGATTTTGTGGGATTTTTAAACCTTTCATCCACCTTTGCTCTTGATGTTGCTGCTCTCATCATGCAGTTAATGTCAAAGGTATTCAGTGAGGTTAGCACTTCTTACAGGCTAGTCAAACATAGCTTTCTGGATCTTGCATTGCATTTGGTTGAACAGTAATTTCAAAATAAGAAAGGGTATTCCCCAAACCAAACCAAACCCCACAAAAACTACAATGTTGCACCATTTGTCTTCCCACAGAGAACATTTCCACCTCTCTAGAGTCCAGTGGAGGAGTGTTTTACACCACTTCATCTAGTTTTTGACATACAGTAGTACTTGTTGAAGAGAGGCTTGCATGCTGCTCCATGGAACTGGAAACCCACTGAGTGAATCTGCAGTTTTGTACTGATAATAATGAACATCTTAGCAACAGAATCAGCAGTGCGTTGGAGCCCTTTATTCACCATGACCTTCAGGTCTTCCACTTTGTATTTTAGTTGCTGCAGTTTAAATGCGTCCACTTTGCAATAAAACCACTTAAAGTTGACTGTGGACTGTCAATTAAGGATGAAATTTCACAAACTGACTTACTGCAAAGGTGGCAGGCATTTAAACCTTTTATACTCATGGCAGAACCAGCAACATAGTTTGTAAGCTATACAGGAAAAATAACTCTTTTGAAAATAACAACATTGTCAGTAAATATTTAGCTTGAAAGATTAATAGCGCTATTTTAAATAAAAAAATTTAAATTTAAACATACAATGCCGCTTGCGTTGTTAGTCTTATGCTGAACAATTAATCTGTAAAAGTAAATTTACATAAAAATAATAAATTTTGGTAAGTGAAGTTTATTTTTAAACAAATTTGGATAGGATCACAAGATTATGATTGACCACATCTAGTCCCGCATTAGCTAACACATGATTTACCATTCAGATGATTTCTAAATCACCATAAATAACCAGTATCTCAATTATCTTCATCTTGAAGAATCCCCCTTCCACCCCAACTCCTCCTCCTTTTAGGGTGGCATGGCAGCTCAGTAGTTAGCAGCACTGTTGCCTTACAGCAAGAATGTCATTGGTTTAAGTCTTTACCAGGCTAGTCAACATTTCTGTGCGGAGTTTACATGTTCTCCACGTGCTTGACCAAACTAGATGAGCTCTTAGTCAGCAGTATTTCTCTCCATAGCAATTCATAATTTGTATTTATCCATTAATAAGCAGGAGAGTTTTCGAGATCTACAGTACCTGAGCACAAACTCCCTCCCTCTTGCCCTTCAAACAGGAGTAAGCCCAGGGCTCAAGGATCTTATGAGCTCAGGGCTCTCTCCTGGGACAGCATATCAAGCATGCTTTATAATCAATCATCATTTAAGTGTGAACTCTAGAATTAAAATGGACGTTCTAGAATGGAGTCATTCTCTAGGTTTGGGCAAAAAAGCTTAGCCATGCACCTCTGCATATAAGAGGTTTTGGTAAATGCCCATCATGTCATGTTCACAATGCTGCATTTATGTTGAAAACTGCTGACAAAAAGAAAAAATAAAAAAAGGTATAATTATGCGAAAAAGCTGCTCCCCACTACAATAGGCTTGACCAGCATGTTTATGTGTGTTTGAAGGTCAACTCTGATGAAAAAGTGTCAGGGTTCGGGAAGGATGAGAGAGCGAGGACTCAAGTGCAAACAATAATTGGGTTTTATTAATAATAAAGTACAAATAAAACAAAAAGGAAAAACAAACTACCCCGAGGGGGAAAACATGAATCAAAAACAGACAAACTTGGCTGGGCTGGCAAGACATGACTGGAACAGGAGCACAGAGGGAATATCGACGACGAACTGGCAAAGGACTGAAAACATGAGGGGGGTTATAAAGCAAAAAAGTAAATTGACACACAGGTGAACATGACAAACTAATAATGAGTAAACAAGGAGGGTGGGACTAGACAATAGACGGTAGAGCGCATGACACAGAGAGACAATACAAGCCATGCTCACATAACACAACACTGAAGCACACGACAAAAGCACGTGACCACAATGTAAACACCGAGCCACGTGCTTTGACAAAAGACGCAAGACACGAGCACACGATGAAAGAAAACACTCATCTTGCGCTCACACACGCAGCGTGCATGCTTCATCCCAGCGCCGACCAAAACCGAAACCAACAAGACTGAGACGCTGGGAATGAAACACCAAGCTGCTGACAGACGAAAACACAAACACGAGTACAAGAGCGCATGCGTCTGAGGGACGCAGAGCGCGCGCGCGGCCGCGTCAAGCAGGAGCGCGCACACTCTGCGTACACCCACGACGGCGCGCGCGCACACAGAGACAGAAACAGGACCAGACCTGAGTAGTGTCAGAGCTCTGCCACCAAAACAAGAATTTACAAGACCAAAGTGGCAGAACCCTGACAAAAAGTGTATTAGTTGTTTTGAAAACAATACCAAATACAAGGAGCTTGACTGTGGCATAATCAATGTTTTATCCAAAAAAAGAAAATAATTTCTCATAAATAAAAATAACATGTTACTGGCATCGATTAACATTTTTAAACATGTATTTACAGGCATTATGACTACTGTGAATTTTGTTACAATCAAGAAGCAGCCAACATTTAGTTAACTGAACAAAATATGTTAATTACAGTTATGGTGACATGATGTTGGGGAAAACATTTTTTTACACCCAGATTAGTATCTATTTATTAATGATTTAAAGAGCCAAATACCACAAAGTAACAACTGCTCGAAATGTGAATACAGGACTTCACACTTTTTTGAAAAAGCTATAAAAGTTCACCCAAAATGACAATTGAAGGTCTTCATTGTGTTAAAGGTTAAATAATTGATATTTAATTGATTTTTAAGCCAATATCAGACCACAAAAACCTGCTTAGTGAACAAATAACAAATACTATTGGGTTGATTTCTAAATCACAAAAAGTGCAATTATAATCAGCACTAATTTAATCTCTAAGCAGCTCTGAGGATAGGTAAAACTCATTGAAAACAAGATTCCTATAATAATAAAGCTCTTTGGAAATGAGTTATTACAGCTAATTTGATTCTGAAATTACTTTTGTGTGAACAGTTAGCATTTATTGTTTGTTTATTAAATTATTGAAAATATCAAGAATAATTTTTTTACCAAACTAAATGTATTACATTATGCTAAATGGCACTAGAAAAACATTCTTGTTATAAAATATCAATAATATCTGTTCACAATAAATGCATCTAAAATATAAATTAAAGAAAAATCAAAATTCTAATAAATTTAAAGGATCAGAAATCTCTGGCTTTCTATTGTTGCAAACTATTCAACTGATAAAATCCTCAGAGCAGAATTTGAACAGTTAGTATAAAGGAAAGGAAAGAGTGTCTTCTTAAAGCGTGATGTGAATGAACATAAAGGTGTGTTTTTTTTAGAATCAGAGAATGTCACCTTTCCTTGTTCCCAGTCCAGCTGCACTCTTACCATCTGGAGTTTTGTCTTAATGGTAAAGCAAGAACAGGTTTTCTTTGATATTGGAGATAAAAATCCACCATTCACATACTCTACACACCAGAACTCGGTATCAAGGAAATTATATTTCTTCCTTTGTTTTGGTGCGGTCATTATTCCAACACTCCAGCAGGAATTGTCTCCAACCTCCACATCCCACCAGTGTGTTCCTGAGTTAAAGCCTTCTGAACCCAGAACACAGGGAATGGAGCTCATTGCCTCTGGATCAGCAGAAACCCAATTGTAAGTCACACTGGTCAGATCATCGGACACCGTGAGATTAGGATGCGCCGTGCTGGGGTCCAAAGTCACAACAGCTGAGAGATTTTAAATTATAAATGTTCATTTAATTAGTATTGGTGTTGTTTTAAAATGAGCACAATCTACCCCAAACAAAATATCATAACATTGTTTTCAATTTCTATCACTGTTGTTATTAACACAGCAAATAAACTATCAATGCAGTTTAATGAAACATGAAAAAGCCAGCATAAAAAAAAAAATAATAAAACTTTAAGAACTTAAGAAAATTCTGTCATCATTTACGCACCCTTTACTTGTTTCAAGCCAGTTTTCTGTTCTGTTCTGTTCAATTACTATGGAAGTCAATGGTTACAGTTTTTCAATATTCTTCAAAATATTTTCCTTAGTGTTTAACAAATCAAAAACTCTTAAACTGGTTTGGAGAAAGTCAAGGTTGAGTAAATGATGACAGAACTGTCCTTTTAAGGATGGACTAAACCTATAAGACAAAATCTCCAACATGGAAGTCTAAACAAAACAGAGCTGGGAGCATCTGATATGAATATGTTTTGTGTTTTTAAATAATCTATAGGTTTGTGTGACTGTCATCTTCGATTTCAGGAAATGTTTTTACCAAAGAATCTTTATAGAAACTTTTTAGCATCATTGAGTTTCTAAGACATGATTTGGGACAAAGAAATGCATCTATCCAAAATGGGCTCATTTGTTACAGTGCATGATATCTCAAATCAATGAGAACTTACTGTTGTAAACAAGTTGCTGCATCTTCTTCCAGACTCTGAAGGTGAGGTTTCTCAGATAATCTGCCACATTAATCAAAGCTCCTGAAATCCTCTGTGGATCCTGCTGCTGTGAACTCTGAGCTCTGAACAACATTCAGTAGTCAGAACTGCAGTGAGTTTGAGCTCATAATCACAAACACGAGAGACACAGTGACTCACTTACCTTCCCATGATGCCTTTAAAGCTCTGGGAAATAGAACGGAACATGATCAGTGTTTCAATATTATATCAATGGTGCTTTGAATCGAAACACATGGTAAATGTTTTAAATAAAAAAACAATCATTTCTCACGAGTAGAAATGAGGTGTCACTGGCATTCATCTTTTCTTTTATGTCTTTTATAGTATCTGCTAGAGCTGAGATCTGTCTGTTCATCTCCTCAATCCTGTTCTTCATCATCTCACTCTTCTGCTCTTCCTCCTTCATCAGTGCAGAGACTAAAGCTTCTTCTTCATCGTGCAGAAATTGATGAAGCTTCTTAAACTCCTCTTTAATCTGCCGCTCTGTGCTCTCACTCTGAGTCTGAATAAAAAATAAAAATGAAAACAGAGAAATTTACCTCAGCATTTACATATTTTTGTTCATAATAAATTCTGACTCTCACCTTTAACTGCTGGACTGTTTTATCACACTCTTCTTTACTTTTTTCTTTGTGTTTAAGCTTCTCTTCTAAAGATTCCAGTGCTGTTTTGAGCTGCTCCTAGAAATTAAATTAAAAACCTGTTTAATTGGGGAGAACAGACTACTTGTTTTCTTGATGTTACATATCAGTTTTACACTGTGGCTCTGTGAAATTAATTATCTTTATAGAGATTAAATGTTAATGGAATTAAATTCTTTCATTTCTCACTGTTCAAGCTAATATTTTCTCATATCTATTTTTTAAATAACATGAACACCAAAGAAAACGACATACATTGGAAACTGAGGCTTTCGGTGACAGGTTATGTTTTATTGTACTGCCATCTATCAGCATGATGAGGTATTACACACACACACACACACACACACACGCGCACGCACGCACGCACACACGCACGCACACACACACACACACACACACACACATTCCTCTTAACTTTTTACGCGTTATTTAATTGAAGCTGCCAATATGTGACTTACCCTGTAAGATGGAACAACTTCATCAACAGGTCTGAACCTGTGATTGGTGTGTTTTTGTGAATCTCTGCACACAAGACACACAGGCTGTTCATCATCCAAACAGAAGAGTTTGAGCTTCTCATTGTGAAAACTGCAGTCCAGCTCAGACCCTGAAGCTCTGTCTGCTGTCAGTGACTCACACAAGTTCTTCAACACAAGATTACAAGGAGGATCATCTCTGGACGATCGTCTCCTGCAAACAGGACACTCCAGAGTATTTCTCAGGCTCCAAAACTGCTGAACACACTCTTTACATATACTGTGACTACATGACAGCACTGCAGGATTCTTGTAGATTTCACAGCACACAGGACAGGTAAGGTCTTCCACAGACACTGTTTTCACAGAAGCCATTCTTCAGCGTTCAACCAAATTATCTCTAGATCTTTCTTTCACTTTCAATTGGTCTTTTGTATTCTCATCCAGTGAGATATCTAGGGATGGCTGACGTGAAACTGACGTTTCGACACAGTGTCGAGATCCCGAAGCACAAGTGTTTCGAAACACTGTACCGAAGCATGATCCGAAACACCCAGGTCACGTGACTAAAGTGTTTCGAAACACTTGGTCACGTGACAAAAGCGATTCAAAGCATCGATCATTTCAGAAGCGTTTCATGACCCGGAGAATCTGCATGTCACTGGCATGATCAGTATTCAGTCTCCGTTTTGTATGGCCTAGTGGACCGTGCGTGTGCACTATTGTACTGTATTTCAAATTTATTTTGGGTTCGAATCTCGACTATTACAAATACTCCAAAATCATGATTTTATGTATTTTAATCATGTTACTGTTTTATGGTGTAGCCTAGATAGGATACAGCTGCGGATACACCATCAATTTAGCATCATTTTTGTAACACTGTAAAACAATAATTCATATTTTTACAGTACTTTGATGGGTTTAGGTTTTGGATAGACGTTAATAAAATACAATGGGAAATTTAATTAATAATATAAATAATTATTGTTAACTTCTGGCCACAACTGTATCTGATCTAGTAACAACCCTGTTATATGAACAAAATACAAATTTATTTACAAATGTTTATTCGTATGTCAGAGCAATGTTGAAACAAAACGATACAATAACAAAGCATTACCAACTGGTAGTAAATCATTTCAATAATTGTAAGAGTCTGGATTCGATACCATTATTCCCGCATGACAGTCACGTACTCTTACCGCTCGACTAAACCATCTGATGATTCAAGGTTACAAAGTGAGGTTTGATACATCAATGTGCTTAACTGTTCTTTGCTGAAGCTGTTTCAGTGAAATACAGATAAAATGACCACTAGGTGTCACCGTAGAGTGGTGTTTCGAAACGTTTCGAAGCTTCGACACATTTGCTTCGATAGTTTCAGTGTTTCACGAAGCCTCGCTTTGCCCACCACTAGAGATATCTCAAAAACCCATTTGTTTTTCTTCTGATGTCTCACTTAATTCTTCAAATGTTTGCCCACGATGAGCAAAGTCTGTGACACCAAAAAGAAGCAAGTGGTGCTCGCTGCAGAGCCATTTGAGGAGAGGTGAGCTCCAGAGAGGGGGAGCTTAAGCTTGAGCTCCACCTTTCTCAAAAGAAGTGATAATAAGAGTCACTTCCTGGTACATTATCAGGGGTGGGACTTAGCGATTATAAGAAACTTGTGATTGGCTGAAGCTTGGTTTGACATTCAAGTTTCACTTTCTAGTTTAACCATGACTTAATCACTTAAATAGTCTACCAAGTATCTTGGCTATCTAGTTCTTACACTGTAAAAAAATATATGATCAGTTTGTCATGACAGCATATGTTTTAGTTCATTGTAACTTATTAAAGTTGATCATGTTCTAACTTAATTTTATGTCACACAAGCTGTTTTAAGTCAGTTGAACATAACCTAAGTTCAATTGACTAATAAGGTCAAGTTGATTCGTCTTAAAAATGTAAGGTAACAAGGATTTTTTTACAATGTAGGGATGAAGGCTGTGGTGGCCATTGATTAATTGACATGAAAGAAGAGTCAAAGAGGGGGGAAAACTCACACTTTTGTTTTTTATACATGCTATAGAAATACATGTTGTTGTTGTATATTTAAATATGGAATAATCTCATAGGTTAATTCATTCATTCATTCGTTCATTCGTTCATTTGTTCATACTTAATGTCTCTTGCCCTCACTGAAACAACCTAACTTGCTTATAAATTAAGTGTTTCGTTAATTTAAATAATATCGTTAAAATAATATTGTTTATCCATTCCAGCAACACCCAAATTTGAAGAAGATAACTTAACTTTAGATGTCACGACACATTGGGGCAGGATTCTCCACAGATACTGAATAACTGAATTTATCAATTCCTTTTTGATCACGTTGTACAATTTTTACTGACAACTTTTAGATATTTGTGTGTCACATGGTGGCATTTGTAAAAGGGTGAGTTTTTGAAAACCACTATGGAGAGTAGATTCATGTGACTCTTATAAAACGTTTTATTTGTGCTTTTAATTAGCTCAGGAAAATAAACTACAACAGAAGAGCCTTTTGTTCCAATCCAAACATACAAAACTCTGAAATAGAGAAGCATTTTAATGGTTAACACGGCCATATCTAACATTTTTGCACAAAATAAAAAATAATTCAGCAATAAAAGAAATCTCTAAATACATTACACAATTAATGTACAATTCTTTGTGTTTAATGCTGTGATTTTGTCAGTTGGCATTTCTGTGTGGAGTTTGCATGTTCTCCCCATGTTGGCGTGGGTTTCCTCCAGTGCTCCGGTTTCTCCCAGAAATCCAAAGACATGCGCTATAGGTGAATTAGGTAAGCTAAATTGTCCGTAGTGTATGAGGGTGTATGGGTGTTTCCCAGTGATGGGTTGCAGCTGGAAGGGCATCTGCTGTATAAAACATATGCTGGATATGTTGGCAGTTCATTCCGCCGTGGCGACCCCTGATTAATAAAGGGACTAAGTCGAAAAAGAAAATAAATTAATGAATTCTTTCACTTTGTGCTTCCTTTTTATCAGGAGTTTAGATTATTTTGCATTTCTATGCATATTTATCCAATTCTCCCTCCTTCCTAACTATCAAAGTATATGGCTGATGATGATGGCTGACACTCTTCATGCATTCTCATTGTGGGCCTTCCACACCTTTTTTGATAGGAAAGAGGTGGGGGAAAATATAGATACAGCCCTCACAGTATTTTCCCCATATCAATAAATCAGCAATTTTTCATTTTATTTTACTGTTTGGTTGGTTATTAAAATTAATTTCATTACAATCCACTGGATGGCTGTGTTGAACCTTTTGAGCAGGGTCACCCTCAGCGTGGAGTAAGTTAGTAAAATAAAGATGATGCCATTTCGGGAAGATGCATGCAACATTTATGACAGGTTTTCAATAAAACATCAGTCAGTTTGTCGGCTTAAAAAAAACTATTTTGTGGTGCAGTAATGAAATTTATGTGAGCTAAACGGAGAAATGTTTCTGTTAGATAAAACAAATATTGCCAAATATCATTCAAATTTGGAAAAGGCTATATTACAATTTATCATCACATACATTACAATATATTGAAAATCACAATAAAATTGGGACCACCAAAGTATAATCCTGATCATCGTGGTTTTCCCTATCAATACAAAAAATGTAGATCATCAACATTGAAAAATAATCAGAATGTATGGGCATAATAATTTGTTTGGTGTGGTCTGGGTTCATAATAGTAGGTCTTGCACACATAAAATTACTTATGTTCCCTAGTTCTTAACTTCTTATTTAGAATATATGTCTGCAAAACAGCACTTTTTTTTTTACTTTAGTTCTCCAAAGCCAATTGAACAAAACGCAGTCAACCCATGTGCTGAAAGCATATAATGATCTCACAGTGATTAGAACTGATTTCTGTGTCCACCGGAAAATAAAAGTTTTTATTTTTTTATTAATGCTTAAGGAACAAAGTACAGAACTATACAAAAAATAAGAAAGAAAGAAAGAAAGAAAGAAAGAAAGAAAGAAAGAAAGAAAGAAGGAAGGATCAAGAGTGTACAAAAAAGAAAATATAAGTAAGACAAATAAATATATGTGTATACTAAGAAAGGGTAAATGCCTTGTGGGATTGCATGATCTTAGAGGTTTCAAGTAAAACAGCTTTAATGGCTTAATAGTGCTTTGCTTAATTTGTTCGTAATGTTCTAATTCTTTAGTATAGCAGTATAAATGTTATTGGTTATTAAATTTGCATCTGTTTTATGGTTGGCCTACTTTGTACATATTATCAAACGTTTAATAACATGAGCTTCCTTCTCAATTTTTGTTACAGTTCAAAAATCCAAAAATAACACGTTGGTATTCTAAACGAAAATTTGGCAATAATTTGTAGATTATGAATTTGGAGATGTTGAATATTTTTTCTGAGAATTGACAATGCGGTACCGTTTTTGGCTGTGTTAAACAAAATTAACAGTTTTTATCAATTTCCTGTCTAAACCTGTAAAGAAAATGTTTTGCAGGGTCAAATTTATGCAGAATTTTAAATGAGACGGAAAATAAAAGGTTAAAAAGGACACCTCTTATGACGAGGCAGCTACGTATAGCGGTGGGTGTGGAGGCGAGCTAGGCTCTAGAGATGCAGGCGGGGTGTTAGTGTGTATGAACTCATGTAGTCTGATCAAACACTGACCACAAACTCAGTCGCCCACTGATATCCTCAGGTAAGAATTCGCAGGTTTTGTTTTGCTGCAGAGTCGCGTATGCAATTCTCTTGACGAAGATGTGCAATGGATTCCAAACGGCGGAATTTAGTCGCACTGGCGTTTGATACTTGTCTGCGTTATAGCCACACAGTTAAACGGGTTTGGATTACAACACTTGCACTATCTAAAAAAGTTTTGTCCACTTTAAATACACGCGCAGTTATCGAATTGCATTTCTGTGTGGTGATTGCTACTGATTGTTTGGTATGTCGCTGTGCCCAAATGTAAACAATATGGCAACTTAGTAGCGAGTATGGGCTGTAGCTATGCTGGCTGGCTGGTCCGATGTGGATGGGGCGTAGTACTACACTGAGCCTTTTCTCTTTTTGGGACTGTCGTTAAGGGGAAATACGTTGACACATGATACGGTATTTAGCATGCTGCACAGCTCATCGCATTCAAACTAGCTCCTTAATTAGAACGACATAAAACGTGTTTTTAGTGTTTGCCACTACCTCCCTGTATCCATTCTGGCTGAATACTTGATGTATTTCTGTTTTTAAAAGAGAAAACCAATTGGAATTGAAGATCTTAAAAGTAAAAGTAATTGTAATATAAGTTCCAAATTTTCCGGTAATCACAATATTTAGATTAAATTTGGCATCATTCAACCGCCAACTTATCCAGCATATGTTTTTAGGAAGCGGATGCCCTTTCATCTGCAACCCATCACTGGGAAACTAAATTTGGCATCAGTGCCACTAAATTCTAAATACAATTCTTAAATTAGAGTCATTGGGAATTTTATATTGACACTTCTTTGTAAGCCTATATTGTCGTTCCAGAGGTGAACTTTTAATCTGTGCAAGTTTTAGTGCAGAAAAAAAGTCTTTAGTATCTTGAAATCCTCCTAATTAAAATAAACCCTGCTTTTTACAGGTTAATTTAGGCAATTTTATTCATTAATAGTGTTGCCATGAATGCATAATTTTGAAGATGAAGAACATCTCCGAGAACATCATGTGTTGTCATCTTGTAATTGCATAAGTTATTACATGGTGTGGATGTTTTTAATGGTATATTACAAGAAAAGTTAAACTGTAAATATACACATAAATTTGTGTTAATGCCATATTGGAATGACCATAATTATTAGATTCCAACTAGTAAAATGCATTTATGTACTAGGGGAAGTTGTAATTATCACTAAATACTACTTAGCATTATGTTAAGTCTTTAAATGCATATTTCTGACTAAGACATAAAGAACTACATATAATGCCACATGTCATCTTGAAATTACTGTAGTAGCTGAAAGAAGAGAATGCAGCTCAAAACGCTAAAATAAAAATAAGTTGAAGGCAAATTACACAACGGAAATTATTTTAAATATGTTGCAAACCTGAATTGAATGGAATTGTTTTTATGAACACTTGCATTTTAACAAATAGTGACTAATAAAACAGAATAGTTTTGCTTTATGTAATAGCTAAATGTTACAGGAGACAGTAACAGGCCAGTAGGACAGTCAGTGTCTCCAATGCCAAGAATGTAGTAGCATTGGACTATAAATAGCCTTAGGTCACTCTCCCATCCTGAACGGAATGGCTTTTCCATGCCGTGACCTTAGCCTTGTCTTGATCAATGAGACTAATCTTCTGAAGACTTGCGATATAAATTGCAGACTTTTATGCCATGAACTTGAAAAAAATGATGTCAAACCTATTTTAATTGTGAATCTGAAAATGGTTTAATAATCTACATTTCAAACAGAGAGTGAAAAATGAATTTTGTTTCATTTTGTAAATAAGCTATGGTTTTCCTGCAGGTCCTTCGAGGGTAAAGTCAAATTATTATGGCTGCTACCTCCCAGGTTTTCAGGGTCATCCATGGCAGGAGATTTGGTCAGATCTTTGTGCCAGCCATAACATGCCAAATCTGCATTCAGACTCCTCATCCCTGTTCCAGTGCAGCTCAGACACACATCTCTGATCAAAGATGGCGGTTCCAGTCACGGGGATACAGGACCTCACCTGCAAGGCACACCTACTACCTGACTCCACCTCAGGTTAACAGCATCCTAAAGGCTAATGAGTACAACTTCAAAGTTCCTGAGTTTGATGGCAAGAACCTCAGCTCGGTCATGGGTTTTGACAGTAATCAGCTGCCAGCAAACGCACCCATTGAGGATCGGCGAAGTGCAGCAACGTGCCTCCAAACACGTGGAATGCTTTATGGCGTATTTGATGGCCACGCCGGCTGTGCTTGTGCTCAGGCACTCAGCGAGCGGCTCTTCTATTATATCGCGGTTTCATTGCTCCCACATGAGACATTGATCGAGCTTGAGAACGCAGTGGAGAACGGAAGACCTCTTCACCCCATTCTACAATGGCACAAGCATCCCAACGACTACTTCAGCAAAGAAGCCTCACGCCTTTACTTCTCCAGCCTGCGCACTTACTGGCAGGAGCTCCTGGATCTGAGCGTTCCTGGGGAGCAACCTGAGGTTGCGGAAGCTCTTGTGACTGCCTTTAAAAGGTTGGACAATGACATCTCCCTGGAAGCACAAGTTGGTGACCCAAATGCGTTCTTGCACTACTGGGTGCTTCGTGTGGCATTCTCAGGCGCTACGGCATGTGTTGCACACATTGATGGTAACGAGCTCCATGTTGCCAACACTGGAGATGGACGTGCAGTCCTGGGTGTTCAAGAACCCGATGGCTCTTTTTCTGCTCTCACGCTCACCAATGACCACAATGCGCAGAATGAATCTGAGGTTCAGCGTGTACGGTCAGAGCACCCGCACTCTGAGGCCAAAACTGTTGTGAAGCAGGATCGGCTGTTAGGGTTACTCATGCCATTTCGAGCCTTTGGAGATGTTAAATTCAAGTGGAGCATCGAGCTGCAGCGACGTGTTCTGGAGTCGGGACCGGATCAGCTCCATGAGAATGAGCACGCCAAGTTTATCCCACCCAACTACCACACGCCACCCTACCTTACAGCAGAGCCTGAGGTTACTCGACACCGCCTTCGTCCTCAGGATCGTTTTCTGGTGCTGGGCTCGGACGGGCTGTGGGAAACACTGCACAGGCAGGAGGTGGTGAGGATTGTGGGGGAGCATCTCACCGGGGTGCACCAGCAGCTGCCGGTCAGTGTTGGTGGTTTTAAGGTGACCCTGGGTCAGATGCAGGGATTGTTGCAGGAGAGAAAGGCTCGCATCTCCTCCACCTTTGAGGACCAAAATGCAGCTACACATTTGATTAGGCATGCGGTGGGGAGTAATGAGTTTGGAATGGTGGACCATGAGAGACTGTCAAAGATGTTAAGTTTGCCAGAGGAATTAGCTCGCATGTATAGGGATGATATCACAATTATTATAGTACAGTTTAATCCACACGTCATTGGGGGACAGTAGAACAGGACAGATTGTTCCTCCCACACGCTCTCTGTTACATATATCTTCACTTTTAATCTAACGCACAATCTCGACGCTGCATTATCCACAATATCAGCACAGCAAAACGTTACCTTTTACCAGTGGAATGTATTACTCTTTTATGCTCACTTTTATATTCATGGCAGCTGCCTCAAAGGGGAATCATATCTCAGCTGTGAGCTGTGTTGGATCCTAATGTTATATGTGGAATGAAGCTAAACAGAAAAGGTCATGCTGAGCCCACTACAGAACCGCTTTCACAATTGGTCAAATTGCACCACCAAACCATAAATCAAGATTGGAACTCCTGGTGACATTGACTAATGTAGGTTCAGCTAATTTTGCACTGAGGAGAGATTTGTATAGTAGGGATGATACTGTGCCAAAATGAGCTTTTATATTGTATGCTTTCAATTCTTCAGGAGTGAAAAGGGCAAGAGAAACAAAGGTCATTTAAAAAACGGTGAGTGAGAATAGCTAGTAAAATGTATCCACATAAGTCCTTTTAAATTCCTCTGTAAGGTGTGTTGTATAATGAATGAGAGGTTGGCTTCAGGCGACAGTTCACTAAAAATTTTAATTCTGTCATTTATTCACCTTTATATTAGTCCAAACCTAAATACTTTATGCGCTTAAAAACAACATGCCCTGCTGGCAAAGTTAGTTGGACTCAGTGTTGTTTCAGACCCCATTTGACAATATACAGTCAACCCCAAAATTATTAATACCTCTGTGAAATTCTGACTTAAAGCTTTTTGTCTAAATGTTAATAAATAAATATCATACAGCAAAGGTCTCAAACTCGATTCCTGAAGAGCTGCAGCTCTGCACAGTTTTGCTTCAACCCTAAATCAAACACCGCTAATGCAACTTACTAATCAAGATGTTCAAGACTACTAGTTACTATTAAGCACGTGTGAGTTGGAGCTGCATTAACTATGCAGAGCTGCGGCCCTCCAGGTATTCAGTTTGAGACCATTGTCGTACATTGTCTTATTGTCTTTTGGGAGAAGCCTGTGTCATTTCTGGTCAATAAATACCTTGCTAGTTGAATAAAAGTAACTTTAAGTTGGGACATGAATAATTTCATGCTCCCGAGTTTTGTCCAGATATAAACTAAATGAAATGTATACAGGATTGGAATAACTTGATGTTAATGTTAAGAGAATTTATTATTTTTTTAGATGATTTAAGTTGTAATGTAACGTAATAGTAGCTGTTGCCATCACTTAGCCTAAAAGTGTTGGTTACAATGTCATACAAGCAGCAGTAATTCTTTGTCTTTCTTAGAACTTATAGTTTTTTTCAGAATGTTGCATCTTAGTTCCATTTGCATTCTAAATTTGACTCATAAGTTCTTTATAAATGCAACATGCCTTTAGTTGATAGTTTTTCATGAGTTCAAAGTTCATCAAAACATGCTTTGCTCAACCAAATTATCTTCTCATTACTCTACAAATCCAGATAAAGATGCCTGTTTTTTTTTAACCTGACAATCTATTCAAAAAGTTCTGTATTGTTCATTAGTTCTCATTGAACATGCTATGTAACTGGAGGCTTTACTGCTAACAACATGCATTTAATGCTGTTGGCCTTTGCTGAAATTCCTGTTTTGGCTTCTTAGAGCTGCGCTGAATTTCTCTGAAAGGTATTTAAAGAACCTGGTTAATGACACAACAAACTAGATGTGCTTATTTTGTCTTTTAAAACAAGTAAATACACCCATGTGCTTACACTACAAAATATGACCTCAGTGGATTTGCTTTTTGAATTGATTTAATTTACCATACGTCATAACATTCGTCAAATAATTACTGGCCACAGAATAAAGATTGGAACACTTTTTGCCCCAAGGTTTATTGAACAAGGTTAAAACCATAACTCTGTGCTTTCTTGCCTGTTTACAGAATGTTCTCAGTTCTTGCACAAGGACAAACAGCTGATTGCCACATTACATGTTTCAGATGATAGTCAATCAGCAAGCAGTGTTATAAAACTAACACTGTACTAAAGGTATAGGTTTGCTGAAGTGTAAATATAGACACGTGTTTGTTGGAAAAGCAGTTGCTTAATACTTGAAGTGAATGTATGCTGCAGCTCGTCAAGCTTGAAAGGTTCTGTATATTTAATTCTGTGCAGCATGTCATGAGTGTTTTAAAAAAATATATATATATATATTATTATGTGCTGGTGCATGGGCATGACTTGTGCAAATACTCTTGCTTTTTGTATTTAAAATGTTTTAATAAAATTCTTATAACCAAATAAATATAGGTCAGATTTTTGTATTTTGTTGAACTGAATACATGCATGTGGTCTTAAGAGATCAATGTGACCTTCGCTGACAGCAATTTCGTTTTATGCTAGGAATGCATATTTATTTAGTAAGAATGATTGAACTTGGTGAGTGTGTTGCAGTGCTGCCCAAACAAAGAAGTTGGCTCTGGGATAGAGGTTGAGTCATGGTGTCGGATCACTGTCTCTTTTTTGGCAAACTAAGTAGGTCAGTCTATCATAAGGCTCTATCATGACATGGCAGTTCTGAAATTTTAAATGTCAAGAGATCATCAGGTTCTAGGACACACATGCTTGCAGTTTTACATAAAAGGGCTGTGAGGCCACTGAACCTGGCTGAAGTATAATGTAACCATATGGATCAGAATATCTGCAGGTCTTTAAATGTAGCCCAAAACCTCAAAACTAAAGTCTTGTGTTGCTCAGGTATTTTTGGTGCTAGACAAAAAATGGATCAAGATAATCAATGTTTCCTTTTTGCCATAAGTCAATAGAATATTCAGTACAAATCATGTTCTATTGAGATTTATTTAGTAAATGTCCTATTATAAATCTATTTTAAATCCATTTTTGATTGGCAATGTGCATTGCTAAGTAAGTTATTTGGACAAGTTGAAATTGTTGTACCTTGGCCAAGTATTTATTTATATAAGGTATATATAAATGGAAAGCTTATTTATTCAGCTATCACGCATATCATTCTCAATTTTCAAAAGATTATGTTTTTTTTTGGTACTGGAGTCACAAATTGTCTCCATCCACGCTTCAATTTTAGAGCAAAAGTCTTAAATGCCTACAATCACGACATTAAATGTAGCTTTCTGTAGGACCAGTATGAAGCTGTATTTTCAAACTTTTATATATATATCAATTTTTTTTTTTTACCCTTATAAAACCATACTTTTTTATCAGTTTAATGCATCCTTGCTGAATTAAAAGTGTCAGTTTATTTTAGAAAAAAAAAAACTTTTGGATCAGTTTTTTTATTCCAGATATGCACGTTTTTTTATGCAAGACTACAAAATGCAGTATTTATGTTACCTGGGTCCTTGATCTTATATATTTTGCCTCCAAGGGCTTTTATTTTTTTTATTTAATTTTTTTTTTGAGCAAGGACATCAAGGTTTCAGACCTCGATCCTCTCCTGGTATCTGCAAAACAAGAAACCAACGTAATGAAACCAGTAAACACATTTTATACTTGTGATATATGCAGTTCTCCACCTGGTGGCGCCAATCGTCAACAAATTACACACATGGCCAACAAAACGACGAGCAATCAAAAGCGATTAAACCAACGTACAGGTACGTACGAATATGCAGCTTAATTGAAACACAATTCATAAATGAACATTTTCTGTTGTCTAATATAAGCTTAATGCAAGTGTAGGGAATATTTGTTTACACAGCCTGTGTTTTTTGCTAACGTTAAATGTTTGTTGATATTATCTATAGATATTAAATTTATTATGTGGAGTTTGACATGATGATTGACTTATTGTAAAAGCTGATCATCAAGTACCTGGACTGTTGCCAGACTAAAGAAAAATAAAGATATTAACGTGTGTGTGTGTGTGTGTGTGTGTGTGTGTGTGTGTGTGTGTGTGTGTGTGTGTGTGTGTGTGTGTGTGTGTGTGTGTGTGTGTGTGTGTGTGTGTGTGTGTCAACGCCACAAAAATCATTACATTTTCAAAAGTTATATTTTGTCTATAAATCGGAGGTTGACATCGGCCATTAAAGATGGCCAGTTGAATCACAGAAGATGAGCTTTAATCTATATATATATATATATATATATATATATATATATATATATAGCTAAATATATAATTTAATGACTTTTTGTAAAAACAAAATATAAAAATGCCCCTCAGTAGCCCAGCTCATGATGCAAACTATAACTATTTTTAAACATATTTAACAATGTGATTGCAAACCAAGACTGTATGAGTTAGAACAAAATCTAACCATGATAGATTACAATTCAGCTCTGGGTACATGTCAAGAGAGTCTGGACAATGTTAAGGTTGGTTAAACATGTCTAATAGATGTATTTTTCTGTGTTATTTAATTGTGTCATGTTTTAGCGACAAGTGTTGTAGCAGCAGCAGATGTAATATTATCTAACATTTATTAAGTTTATTCTAGAACCGTGCCCAGACTGACTGGAGCGAGATACTGTATATTTGATGATTCATTCTCACACCAGACATCGTCCTCACTTAACAGCCAAAAAAACTCATTAATACCACGGATTCATTCTGTCAGTCACAGCTGGCCATTTGGAGTGAACTGTATTTTAAATACACTGATATTTCAATTATATTATTTTCAATTCTCTGCTTCACTACTCTACTGTTTTATATTTGTTTAGGTTTTTGTTTAAGGGATAGTTCACACAAAAATTACAATTCTGTAATTTCCTCATCCGAGTGGGGCACAAAGTAACAACTTTGGTTTTGGCCAAATAATGAACAAAGTTATATGGGGTTAGACCATATTTTTTTTTACCAACACACAAGCCTCTCCCACAAATGAGCACTGGTTGTATGATCGCTGGACCTATGGTTTCAGTGCAATACTGACAAAAGTACCAGGAGTAAAAATGTTACTTTTTACCCCACCTGTGGGGCAGGTTGTAAAAGACAGAGGGTTTGTTGTAACATGCTTAAAAAGGCAGATTTCACACAATTAATTTAAATCCGGCTTACTTTAAAAAGTAGCTATAAGTCCTCAGTACTTGGCTCAATTTATTTTGTATTCTACATAGCACAGTATGTTTATTTATTTATTTATCTATTGGATAACCACATTTGGATTTATTTGCATTATTATACATTATTATGCAATGCGTTTATTTGCAGTATTAGCAAAAAAAAATTTTTTTCTATTAAAAACATTTTAAGTAAACAGTTCCACTCAAAATTAAAAAAATATTTTGTTTGTTTAATTGGTGTCCAACAGTGTGTGAATTATTTGTAACACCCTCTTACTACCAATCCCGGTGTGCCGTGTTTTCCCCAAAACTAGCTAGCAGTCAATGTGTTTTCCTTACATCTTTCAAAATGGTT